TTTTTTTTTTTTTTTTTTTGTTATTCTTTTAATTAAATCCAATTCATCTTATATAATATTTGGGGAAAAAAAACTATAATTTTATCCCTCAATTTTAGGGCAACCCGTCTTATATAATATTTGACTTTCCAAGGTTTATTAAATTAAATTAAATTATTTTTTATTTTATTTTTATTTTAGGTACTACATATAAAATAAATAAATAATGTAGGTGGAATAAGAAAAATCAACTATTGAGGGAGTCCTTATTGTAGGGATAATAATTAAATGCATAGAATTGGTGGCATGTTCGAACATAGTGTTTATTCATGAAATGAGCCCCTAGATGTGTACATTGAAATTCATTTTATTATTATTTTTCAAATAATTTTATAACAAAAATTATTAAAATTATATATATATATATATAAGTCATCTCCAAAATAAATAAATAAATAAAAACATTCAACCATATTATTAAAGACAAGCTTGAAAATTTGTAAATATCTCAAGTGACTTTATACAAAATAATAAATAAAAATTATATTTGAATGGTTCATGTTTATTTGGTCTGCCGGCTATTGAAATTTGTATTAGAAAATTTATTATTATTATTTTTTTAAAAAAATTAATTTTATAAATATATTTTTATTTTTTGAATTTATGTAAGAATTGAAATATTTTAGTCATCAAATTATTTTAAAAAAAATCATTTTGGACATAATAACATACTTTTATTTAATATTTACTCATCCAATACCATTTTATAAACAATATCCAGTGATTATTTTGTTTAATTCAAGAATTGAAAATAAATATTTTAAGACTTTTGTTTAATTCAAGAATTGAAAATAAATATTTTAAGACTTCTAAAGCTTACCGATTTAAAATTCAAACTTGCATATATAAAGTTGTGAATTATGGTATCTTTCTTAAATAAAGTTAAAACAAAAAGAAAAAGACGTGACAATGTGGTCATCTCATTTTCAATTATCTTCGTCATCTACAACAACTTATATTGTTCACTTTAAATCTAAACTCAAACCGTTTCAAGGTGAGATGAGAGGGAGGTCCATTTTTGTGTGGCTATCAAATTGTTAGCAGATCGTTTCGTTGTACCCTCCATTTTTACAGCTCTTCAAACCTTAAGAACTCAGGAAGATGTGTGAATAAACATGTATACGACAATAACATGTAAATCGAGTAAGGGTTCACAATAGATATTTAATTAAAAAAAAAAAAGCTAAGAACAGCAACTAACATAATATAACCTGCGAAGTTTAAGGGCTATATCAAAACATTAATACAATTTAAGTACTAACATAAACAATTTAAGAATTTATGGACCAGAATGGAGAGCACAAAAATCAAATATATTGTAATCTAGTTGATTTAAAGACTTCTAAACACTCAAAATTTAACAATTTCTTAAACTGAGATGGGTGTGATATTCATTCACATTGATCTAATCAAGTAATGGAGGTCCCCAACATTATTTGTAGCAAGTGTATTAAATTATAGATCTTAATACCAAATGGGGCAAAAACATGCTTTAGGTTCAAGCCTTCTTTTTGTTACGAAGAATCTTCATTATATGGCAACTTGCAAGGGGCCAAGCGGTCTTTGGATTTATATTGGCCGAGCATTTCAGAAACTGTTCTGCAACGACACTGGTTTCCTGGCCTGATTACATCTCCATAAACAGCCATTTCAATTATGTCAAGCTCCTTATCTGCAACAAAACATGCAGTCCAACTATATCATATAAGGATGTAAGAGAGAGAAGGGAAAAAAAACACTCAATGATGGAGAAGGTGAAGGATGGAGTATTATCAATTATTCTAATATAGTCTAAAATCTTAATCACCATGGGACATCCTAGTAGTAAGTCAAGAGAGTGCTGTATAAGGTTATTCGAGATGTGCATGAATGTTAGTCTTATTGAAACCAAGTTCCCAAGTTGAATATGGAAAGGGACAATGAACTAAGAGGTAATCCATGTGGTCCTCAAAGAATTCCTCCCCAGAATGCATTATTTCAGCTTTAGGTACTGATCAAGATTCATAGAACCTGCTCTATTCCACATATGCACAGCAATGAATATCTCTACAAAAAGTTCATAAGATATTTCATATTCTGGGTGGGTGCACAGCATGATTTGAATTCATAACCCCAACAAGGGGAATGCAATCTATGTAGGTTCTTCATTTGTGTTTCAAATGACCAAAAGTACAAGCATTCTTTTGTTTGAATCATAAACTACCACCAGCAATGATAGCTAATATGAAACAGGACAGCATATAGAATTGCTAAAGCAATTGAAACTTCACTTTCTAGCACTTTCCTGAAAATTAATGATGTTTCCGGATCACTTCCCCCCAAAAGCCACGAAGTACCGTCAAAAGATGAGGAAAGCAAAACAACCAATCAATATAGAAATTACAAATTTTGAGCGACCATATGATTCCGTAAAAGCAGATAAAATTATAGCCTTTATAGAGATAACAAATTTTGAGCGACCATATGATTCCGTAAAAGCTTATAAAATTATATAGCTATATATGTGGGGCAGCTAGGAGAAAAGTAAATTGATGCTAGTAGCTACATTCGAACGGGAGAGAATTCAAGAACAAACCAACAGAAAGGTGAATTAAATAGCCATTCTAAACCAATGTTTCACTTGTCGCTTTAACAAGCATGAATTTGATAAGCTCTTACCTTGGAATAGTACAAAGGGATAGTTTATGGAAACCTAAATTGTTTAATCTGGATGTACGATCTATAACAGTGAGATTTCACAAGTTTGATTTCGTGCAACTTGGTATGAGTAGCTCAAGAACTAGCAACAGGATATTTAAGATATGGAAATTCAGACATCATATACAAGTTCGATTATTTAGTCTCGAACCCTAACAAGTGTTACAAGACTAAACAGAAGAGCATGGACTGAAATAGACAGGGAATTGGGGCAGAATGAAAAAGTACCAGTGAACTTGACATCACATGAATAGCCTTTCAACTGAGACGTATCAACATCGTCTTTATCCGATTTGAATCTGTTTACTCTCGTCTGAAGAATCTGGCAATTATCCGCCGTGGATTCGCCGCCTGCGAATTTCATGACAACCAAAGCTAAGCCATAAATTTACTGCAATCCACAACGGAAACGCAACAGCAACAGCGAAATTTCCCATATCGAACTCAGAAACCATTAACCGGCTAGAGGCGAAGAGAAGCAAATCAAATTTACCTTTTGAGAAGGGGACTATGTGATCATACTCGAAGCAGAGGCATCCCTGGCAGTTGCAGAAGCGCTTGCAGACGACATTACCAGCGGCGTCCTTACGCCAGCGCTCGGGATGTCGTCCGGGGACAGTATCGGCCTTGGCCCAACAAATGGCTTTCGCTTTTGTGTCGAAAAATCTAGGCCGTTCGTTCCCATTTCCGGAGCCACTCTGTCTAGGTCCGCCGCGGGAACGAGTCGGTGACGGCGAGCTGGAAGTAGCTTCCATGGGAGTTTCGACGCCGTCCGGCGGATCGGACATATAGAAGCCGGAAATGGGAAAACTGAAGACGTGCGATCATTTCCTGCTCATTAAATTGTCCAAAACGCCGATGGCGATTTTCCCTTCTTAACCGAGCCCAATATCGGACGGCCCACCGCCCACGAGAATAAATTTGAATGGGCTGGGCCGGACCACAACAGGCCTGTTGAATTTGGGCCGAAGAGAGCATCCCGGCAAATCCCGTGGATAAGAAAATTACATAAATTGCTACGAAAATGAGGCAAGTTGTGAAAAATGTAAAAATAAAAATAAATAAATAAGTGGAGTATTGCAAAAATATTTATTGTTTGTTAAATTTTCCAAATTGTATTAAGTCTTCTCTTACATATTAGCTTCTTGTATACATAATTTTAGTAGATTATCTTCTAATTCCAAGTTATAAATTTCTTGCTAAACAATATAAAACCTAAATCAATATCTTTTTCTATCAATTATCTCAATAAAATTGAACTTTTCAGCCTCATTTTCAGCCTCATTCACATTTTAGCTACATTTTTATAGATTCATTTCCAACTCCAAAAAAATAAACGAATTAGGTTGAATTGGGGTCATATGGACCGAGAGCATGTTTGGCTTGTGCCCCATACATAAGAGGCTAACCCTAGGGTTCATCTCGAGCTTAGGGAACTTGATCTTCCACCCTAGTTTTCCTTGTCTGTTTTATTTGGTAGATCTACTCTCTTAACATTCATGTTGGACTCTTTGTCTCTTAGTCTTCAATGTTTTTGTATTTGTGTTTTTATTTATGGTCCAATTTTACCTCTAACATTAGCCCTACTCCTTAGCTAAGATTTGTGATTTGACTTTACTACCATGCATGGAACTCAACTAAATGCATGGTACATTCTCCGAGACACTTTTATTTAACTCGGTTATTTTTCCTTTGACATAATATACTCTAGAAAGATGAAAATCAATTTATTAGGAGTTAATTTTAATGCTTCAAAATAGTATTCAAATTTTCTCAAGGATTATCATCAATTCATCACATGAATCACGGGGATATCCTTTCGGAGGGGTAAAATTTTCCTTTGAGTTCATGAACTTATCACATGAATCACGAGGATATCCTTTGGGAGGGGTACGATTTTCCTTTGGGTTCATGAACTCATCACATGAATCATGAGTATATCCCTTGGAACAATTTATAGAAGATGGAAAGAAGTGCGTGATAAGAGGAAATGAAGGTGAGAGCGTTCCAAGCTCAAATGTAGATTCTTACTAGAAATGACTTCCATTGGTCGCACCTAAATCTTGTTCAACTTTACAGATGGTGTCTTGATTGATCAAACAAGATTTTGGTAGATGAATACTGGAAGGAGGAACTTGGAGGATCCCAAACTGGACCAAGTCAAATTAAACTGGCAACAACACATTGATCTTGCAATTGATGTGGCACGAGCACTGGTCTATCCTCACCATGAATGTTTTCTTTTTGTTTTACATCATGATGTTAAGGCCAGTAATATTCTGCTCGATAAAGATAGTCAAGACAGGTGACAGACTTGGGCTTGACTAGAATTATAGACATGATAGACAGCCATGTGAATACCATGTTGGCTGAAACCATTGGTTATGTTGCAGCCGAGTATGGACAAACATGAAAAGCTACGATAAAAGGCAATGTATATAGTTTTGAAGTTTTGAAGTTTTGACAATGAAACTTGTCGCAAGACGAGCACTCAACGAAGGGGAAGAGTGTCTAGTCGAATGCACCAAAAGGGAGATGGGAAAAGGAAGACAAGGGTTGAGTAGGGAATGGTACCAATTGAAGTTTTGAGATCAGGCCTCGTTGAGGAGGTCGATGAGATGTGTGAACTTCTCAAGATCCGGGTGAAGTGCACTAAGCAACACCAGCAAGGCCAAATGAAGTTCTAGCTATGTTGATCAACATAAAAGGCATAAGAGGAGATGAAATTAGCTATAGCTTCTCCTCTCCATCCTTGTGATGAAGATTTTGGTTGAAGAAATGTGAATAACCTAAAGTTGTTCATACTTTCATAGGCATAAGATATGGATACCTACACACTTTAATTTATTGCCAATCATTGCCAATCATCTTGGAAACAAAAGCATTCATCATTTACAAAATGTCAATAAAAAGATAAAAACGTTTCCCAAGTTGGTTTAATAAGAGTTGTAAGGCAAGTTGGTTTAATAAGAGTTCTTCCTTACCTATGCAAACACACACTATAACATACTAAAACTTTTGAAGTAATTTGTCACATCAAGAAAGTAGATATACATGCATCTATATGTAAATTCTTGTTCTTAGATCAAAATAATAAAAAATGATCTTTTTCACGTTAGAAATAAAGTTAGACTTATAAATCAGACAAGACAACCACAAATCTCTTATAGTAGTGAACTTCTGTACATGCACTTACCATAAGGTTTTGATATCAATTCTTGATGGATTATGGTAAGTGTGAACGTAAGTATTAGAGAGTGAATATTGATACACTTAATTTTTTAAAAAATATAATTTATTATCGTTGCTATATAAACAAAAACCAATTCTCCATACTTCATACACCACCTCTCTCCTTGATTTCTTCTCTCTCTCCTCCATCTATTAGGACCAATTCCTCATTTTTTTCTCACTTTTTTAATACACTTTATCCTTTGATATTTTTGAGACAAAAGTGCAAAATTTAAGAATATTTTTTTTATTAATTTAGCCTTAGATTATTTATTCTTATAGCGAATCTATTTTGTTTATTAAAGACCGAGTGGGAAATATGTAAATCATTGCTGCCTTGAATCCTAATTGAGATGTGACTAAAAAGAAAAGGAAAAAGAAAAAAAATTATCCTAAAGTTGAAAAAAGAAACTAAAAAACATAAAAAGATCACTTGTTGTGGAATGGAATAATGCAAGAAGGACGATCTTTTTTTTCTTTTTCTTTTTCTTTTTCCTCACTCATTGTTCGTTAATTTCAACCTTCTTAGTTTGAAATTTAATATTTACAATTATGCATATTACGTAACAAAATAACACAACCCTCAATTTGAAAATTGAAGAGAGTTCCTCTAATCTATATAACATAAATCACAAACAAACTCCTAAAATTTGTTTATAAAGTTGAGAAATAAGATATGAGAAGTCACAGAAGAATAAAAGTGAAGCAAGACATTGAAAAGGTTAAAAAAGGAAAAAAAGATCCAAAGTAAATTAATTAACTAATTAATTAAATTATCCTTGTAATTTGTTTAAAAAATACTTATAAATTTTCAAAAGTTTCAATAATAAACTTTTTAAAATGTCCCAAAAAAACTCTTGCCATTAATTTTGAATGGAGACGGTCAGTGTTATGTTTAAAAAATACTATTGAACTTTTAGTAATGTTTCAAAAATAACTTGAAACTTTAAAAAGTTTAATTAATATCCTTCACCTATTTAAAAAAATTGAAAAACATCCTTAGTTCGTATTATGTTTGAAAAATACCCATAAAATTTTAAAGATAGCATTCACACCTTCGACCTTCATAAAAAAATTCAAAAAAAAAATTTATCGTCGATATATAGACAAAAATCGTCTATAGATACCTTATAGATTATTTTCTTTTTAATGTTACTTTTGAAAGTTCATTAATATTTTGAAACATTGTACTAACCATAGGATTTTTTTGAAGTTTTTAAAAACTTTAAGGTGTTTTTCAAGTTTTTAAAAAGGTTTAAGGTATTAAGAAAACTTTTGAAAACTCGAGGATATTTTTAAACGCTTTTGAAAGTTAAAAGAGTATTTTTGAATTTTTTTTTTTTTTAAAGATAAAAAGTGTTTTTAAAACATGTATCAACTATTTTCATGCCAACTAAAACTAATCATCAATGTATTTTTTAGTTTTTTTTTTTAAATTTAAGGGTATTTTTGAGGTTTTTTTCTTTTATTTTTTTAAGGTTTAAAGGTACTATTGAAACTAAAAAGACAAAGTGCTACTTGAAGGGTATGTTCATTTTTATTTATTTGTACAATTTGTCATCTTTTTTCAGGAGGAAAATGATGTCAATTGCAAAAAGAAACTTTTATAGCAATTGGCAAGTAATAATTAAGATAGGCAAATAAAATTTTATGAACATTGCTTGCCGTTTCCATAATTGGATGTGGCCTAAGCTAGAGACAAAATGAGCTAGAGAGGGAAGGAGATTAGGAAGATAAGGAGTGATTAAAGGGAAAAAAAAATCAAGAATTGAAGTGTTTGGTGCAACTAATTTTCAATCAAAAGAACCACATAGCTCTAGAAGCAATAATTGGTTGCCCATTTTCATACACATAATCTGTACCATTTCCTCTCAACTTTCCTTTTCTCCATTGCAATCATCAACCATTTAACTCTGTTCTCTACAATGTTTTTGTCTTTTTCTTTTCCTTTCTTTTATAATTTTCTTAAAAGCAACTTTTGAAGTTGAGTAATCCAAACCAGATACTTTACACCAAGCTATTTGAATAGCTTTCATGGCCTAGGGGCAACCCTTAGCTCGTAAGCAGCTTAGTTTCTACTTCATGAGGTGAACAGAAATCCCCCTACCTTCTTCTCCTTCCATAATTTCCTATTCTCTTGGATAGACTTATACTTGTGAGACTATCATAGTCGCTATACAACCATACCCCTTTATCTATGAATCTTTGAACCATAAAAAGTATCAAATAAGTCTCTAGACTTTCAACTTAGTGTCTAATACACTATTGAACTCTCAATTTTATTTCCAATAGATCTCGTTAAATATTCTAGATTTATAAAACATAAATCGTTATATAACATAAAATTAAAGGTTGGAAACATACTACACATGAAATCTTAAGGACCAAACAGATGTTTAGGAACTTTTAAAATTCAATGATTTCTTAAACACAATGTATTTAGAAGCTTGTTAAACACTAAGAAACTAATAGAACTTTTAGAACTTTTCAAGGGTAAGCTCTATCGTGAATTAATTTATTATCCACTTTTTGAAACTCCTAGTTTCTTTTGACCAGAAAAGAAAGAAAGAATAGAAGAAAAAGAAATAAAAAGAAGTAGAGGGAATGGCTGGGGAGATAGAGGATGTTGAAATGGAAGAAAAGAATGGGCGTTTAGGTGCTGGGAAAAGGGGAAATGGAACAAGATTTGTCATAAATTTCCCCAACTTCCATCGCAATTTCCGGGATTTGTATAACGTGCCTACACCCTCAGTTTCTCTCCCTCCGCCCTTCACAACAATTCCTTTTTCTGTCTTGATTATTGATGAAGTTGAGACAACTGGGTTATAAATTTTTTAAGAAAAAACTAAACTAATCTTGAATCATAAGGGTGGAAAAGAACTACCCCTCGACTAATTTCTCATTTGTTCATAAATATTATATAAAAGAAGAAACAGGAAGTGGAATCGTTATCTAAAGAGTCTTCAGAGTTTAAAAGTGTTATGAAAGCTACCTCAAACACTTGTCCAAAAACACTATTCTGCATGTGCCTTTTCAGCTATCAAAGTTATCTTTTACTGTCTTAATTTTGAGAAGAAAAAGCAGCTTTAGCTCGACAAAAAGACATATTAAGCCCACCCGGTTAAGAGTACTCTCAAATATAGCTTAAAGAACCTACACTAACACAGTAGAAACATATAATTGAAGTAGGAACAAGGGTCCAAAAGTCGCACAACCTTCAAATTCAAAATGTTGAAAGAAGTTGAGGTATAGAGAAGTGGAGAGACATGGCAAGGCATGAGGTGTAGCAGCAGATAGGTGATTTGAAGCCATGAATGGAAAGATGGAGACAAGCTTGCCCACACTTCACATGCCTTAATTACTGTTTTATCTTTTTATCAAACACCTCAAGTGCACATCCCACTATCATCATCAAATTCTTCCCTATCTCTCCTCTCTCTCTGCCCTAAACTGACTTCTATAAATTTACCGCCCAACCGAACACAGAGGTCACAACCACAAGCAGAGAAAAACAGATCACAGAGAGAGAGAAATGGAGAGTCGTTCTTACGAACCTGAGAAAACCGCCAAAGACGTCTCACTGCATGAACTCAGGGACAGGCTCGCAGAGTTCGCTCAAGTGCGAGGATGGGAACAATACCACAGCCCTAGAAACCTGCTCCTAGCACTTGTAATTAATCAAACAAAAAACACATTGAAGTTAACTTCTCAATCTCCAATTTCGACCTAAAAACAAACAAAATCAGTACATATACGAGGAATAATCTGAATCTTACATGTTGCTCTTTTCGATTAATGAATTGCAATTCCTTGCAGGTTGGCGAAGTCGGAGAGCTATCGGAGATATTCCAGTGGAAGGGGGAGGTGGAAAGGGGGCTGCCGAACTGGAGCGCGGCGGAGAGAGAGCATTTGGAAGAAGAGCTATCCGATGTGTTGCTGTATTTGGTGCGTCTGGCCGATGTGTGTGGCCTTGATCTCGGCCATGCCGCGCTCTCCAAGATCGTAAAAAATGCGAACAAGTATCCTGTAGCCGCTTTCGCTCGCGCGCTGCCATGAACTTCGCGCCGTCCTTTCTCTGCTTAGTGATTTTGGAAGTCCGGAAAGACTTTAAATTTTGTATTTTCAATAATTTTTGCTTCTTATTTTGTCCTTCAATAAATTTTAAATGTTTTGTATTTAGAACTTTTTATTTGATTTTTAATTTTAAATTGGAAGAACTTAATATATCATTTTTAAAAAAAATTTAGATTCAAACGACTGTCGGAAGCCATTCATAAATTTCAACTTGTTCCAATAATATAGTCGGATGTTGTTCTAGTCTAATCGCAACCAACATGGAGGATTTTACAGTGATCTTCATCAACAGTTTAATTGATAATATTTATTTGGATAGTTTATGTCTCGGTAGTGGTCAGAGGTTGCTGTAGTCCACGTCCTCCAACCACAACCAACACGGAGGGTTCTACAGTGGTCTTTAACGTTTCAGTAGCAACAATCTAATTGATAATATTAATCTAGATAGTTCATGTTCCGACAGTATGGTCAGACATTGCTAAAGTCCATTTCCACCCTACCAAAACAGAGGATTCTACAACAGTATGGTCAGACGTTGCTGTAGTCCACGTCCTCCCACACCTTAGCTCCAACCACAACTAAAACAAATGGTTCTACAGTGGGCTTTAACGTCTCAACAACAACAATCTAATCGATAATATTAATGTGGATAATTCATGTTCCAACACAAGTGGTCAAATGTTGTCGTAATCCACATCCTCCACACCTCAACTCCAATCACAACCAACCTAGAAGATTCTATAGCGATCTTCAACGTCTCGACAACAACAATCTAAGCCTATTATAATCTTTATTTATTATGGAATAATAATTTTTAAAAAATATATAAAATACAATATTATAAAATTAATGGGTCGAATAATAATTATAAAATTTATATGATGTCATTTTAAATATCTAAGTGATATTTTCTTGTCAAATTAGATTTAAAAAAAACTGATTACTTTAGATAATTGAAATTAGATATATTAAAATAAAATTAATCAAAATATAAAGTATTTAAAGAGTAAAAATAATAGTTAAAATTAAAGATTAATTCAAATGGCTACGGCTGCTTGTAGACCCTCTCCACCGCCGGGCCGCCGGCTTCAAATGTTGAAACCAACCGGAAACTGCATAATTTGAACTATGAACTGGAAACTATAATCCAGACTGTCTTTAACTGAATATGAAAATGGATCTCAGGCTTCTTCCTTTCTCATTTCGTTTGATTCGAAGGGCTCGACTCCAAGATACTTGTACGATCTCGAACTTGGATTTTTTAGCGAACCAGTCACAAATATCGAGATTTGTGCATACCCGGGTGATGAATCTTCCGTCTCAGGGCGGTATTGAGAGAAAGATTCCTGATTGTCTGGATGCCCGCCGCAAGGAAGGCAATGACATGCGGAGCGACGGATATTTCCTCATGAAACTCATTGAGGACTCTGTTTCGAATAATGGGTTTGAATCTATTGCTCTTATTTTCTCTAAGTTTCGTGGTTCTATTAATTCTCAGATTTGTAACTCGATGATTAGGGGTTATTTGGATTCGAATGAGCATTTGAATTCACTTATCATTTTTGCTCACATGCATAAATTTAGCATTCTGCCTGATTCTTCTACTTTCCCGGCCGTTCTTAAAGCGACTGCACAGCTATGTGATATTAAACTTGGAAAAATGATACATGGTGCTGTTGTTCAAATGGGTTTCATTCGCGATGTCTACACAAGCACGGCTCTAGTGCACATGTATTGTTCTTGTTTGTCTATTTCCGATGCATCTCAGCTGTTCGACGAAATGCCTGAAAGAAATTCAGTTACTTGGAATGCGCTGATTACTGGTTATACACATAATAGGAAATTTAGGGAAGCTATCAATGCTTTCCGAGGAATGCTGGCAGCTGGGGCTGAACCGAGCGAGAGAACCGTGGTGGTAGTTCTATCTGCTTGTTCTCATTTGGGAGCTTTAAATCAGGGAAAGTGGATCCACGATTTTATATATCAGAATAAGTTGAGACTGAACGTGTTTGTAGGAACTGCACTTATTGATATGTATGCTAAATGTGGGGTTGTTGAGGAGGCAGAGAAGGTCTTCGAAGAAATTAGAGACAGGAACGTTTATACATGGAATGTCTTGATTTCTGGATATGGCATGAATGGCCAAGGCAATGCTGCTTTGCAGGTTTTTTCTAGGATGTTGATGGAAAATTTCAAACCAGACGCGGTTACCTTTCTAGGTCTCTTGTGTGCATGTTGTCACCAAGGTCTGGTCACAGAAGGGCGTCGACAATTCATAAGCATGAAACAACAGTTTGGACTGCAACCGAAGATTGAGCATTATGGGTGTATGGTTGACCTACTTGGTCGAGCAGGATTGTTAGAGGAAGCTCTAGAGTTAATCGAATCCATGAGCATGGAGCCGGATCCTATCATTTGGAGGGCTCTGCTTTGTGCTTGCCGAGTCCATGGGAATACAAAATTGGGTGAATATACTATCAGGAGACTTATTGAGTTAGAACCAAACAATGGGGAGAATTATGTCTTGCTATCAAATCTATACTCGAGGGAACGGCGGTGGATCGAAGTAGGAAAGTTGCGAGGAATGATGAGTCTCAGGGGGATTGAGAAAGTCCCTGGTTGCAGTTCAATTGAAATAAACAATGCAGTTCATGAGTTTACTGCATCAAATGACAGAAAACGAGAATTCAGTGCAATATATAAGCAGTTGGATAATGTGATGAAGAAACTGAAAGAGAATGGTTACGTTACAGGCACTGACATGTCTTTGTTTGATATTGAGAAAGAAGAGAAAGAACACTCTGTGATGTACCATAGCGAGAAACTTGCTTTGGCATTTGGTCTCTTAAACTCTCCTTTAGATTGCACCCTAAGGATAGTGAAAAATCTGAGAATTTGCTCGGATTGCCATGAGTTTTTCAAGGTCGTATCACTTGTCTATAAACGATATATTGTCGTTAGAGACCGAAACCGTTTCCATCATTTTTCTGAAGGCGTTTGTTCTTGCCGAGACTACTGGTGAACATTGAATTTGTTAGAACGAATTCTTCGGCAGTGCTATCTCGAGCAGCAGCTCAGCAATATTGCTTGTTTTCGCATTATGTTCACTTATTTCTGGACTTGCCATATGCTCATTCATGGTATTCAAAAAATGCAGAACTTCTTAACATTAGAATATGTCATTTCCATCAACCAAAATCACTGGAGAAAGCTTGAACTTTTGGTTGAAATGAGACATATTTAGCTATTCAACTAAGACTATTTGTTCTTGGATTCAATTCAACCAATTGCTGAAGCTTTTTGTGGTTAGCTGTAATGCATATCTTCCTTGATTCCTTCAAATTTGCCTGCCTGCCGAGGTGTCTTGTTCACTTCTTGGCAATATAGTGTCACCATCTTACTGTAGAAATCCATATCCATCGACTGCAGCAACAAAAAATCAGCACTTGAATGCAAAAAACTGTAAGCTTTTGCATCTTGAATCTGTTCTTCAATGAATAGCTCTTTCTATATTTTTATTATATATGGTTGGTCCCTCATTCATTTTATTCATGTTAGGAGCTAGTGTAAGTAGAATGACTCGATATTGGCTTAGTCTGGCCTGACGACTCCTTAAGAAACTGAATCATGAAAATCGACTAAAACCAGTTATCTCAATTATTTTTCCATTTGCATTCTACAAAATCGAACCCATTTGTGTGTATTACTCAATTAGTTCATCTTATGTTTGATGTTCGACTTACTTGTGCCAAGAAAGTACAGAAAGGATCGGTCGGAGGAGCGAAAGCACTGGTGGAAAGGTTAGATTTTGGCTTTGTTGTTGAGTTGATAGAAGGCAGTAGAAACGGAGGAGGAGGGAATGCAGCAGCACAAGGAAAGGAACTGGAGCTGGGAGCCTTTGAATGAGTGTGAAGTAGTCCCATATGAGCTGCAAGCAGTGACATTTGAAGCTGCTGCTGCTGCTGAATTCCTAGAGGCATGACCATCTGCGGCACAATTGATCTGATACTGTACATGAACTGAACTTGTGCTTGAAGTTGCTTCAAATATTGAATTGTGTCATCCAAAAGTGAAGCTCTATCCATCTGTGAAAGGAAAAACAACTCTTTAGCTCTCTCTTCCTTTGGAATTGTCTATTAAATATCTCATTAACGATTCGAAACTATAGAGATATTTGCCTTACGAGTTAGATTTGTGTGACTCGAGTTTGAAACCGAGCATACGTTTTATACAAGAATTCGCTCCATTATCTTGGATTATAGATTTTCTAATCTCCACATACCTAAGCTTACTAAACCCTACAATGACAAAATAATTCATGATTCCAACCATTTTCTCACCTTACTCCCGTTTGGCACCAACTTTTGCAAATCTTTCATCTTCTGGTTTATTCGGTCTCTTCGTTTCTACAAACGAGAGATCAGTTAATTCAACCCTCGAGTAGCATGACACAAAAACGTTAACTTGGTTCAAAGTTTCTTACTCTATTAGACCGATTGTGATTAATAGCCGCTCGAGTTCGTCTGATTGAGCTGCTCCCATCCGCTTTCCCCTTCATATTATGATCATCCTCCTAATTCAAACAACAAATCAAACCGTCAGTGATTGTCCACTAAAACAGAATTCAAAGATTGATAAATGAAAGTCTCATATCGGCTAATTTAGGGAATGATCATGGGTTTACAATCGAATACTATCTTCATTGGTATGATATCTTTTGGGAAAGCCCAAAACAAAGCCACGAGAGCTTATGTTCAAAGTGGACAATATTATACTATTGTAGAGAGTCATGTTCATCTAACAAAGATCCAACAAAACAAGTTTCATAACAACAAAGACCTTGTGCATCACGGAGCCATCATCTTGAGCTAAGTCTTCAACGGAATCATCGGTTTTGAAGCTCCCGTGAGATTCCATGGAAGCCCAACTCATCAAAGCTTCATTTTTGCAATCTGGGTTGGATCGAGTCCATTTCCTTGACAATGAACTATGAACAATGGACTCGAGGGTATCATCAGATTGGCTCCACGAGTGGTTAGTTAAAGGCGTTTGGAAAAGCACCTCCACATGGGCATCCATGGCTGCTTCTTGCTCATCCCCT